TGGGTCATTTGACAGCGAAATCGCTACCGAACGACCTTCAGACCTTCCTTTTCAGACGGCTTGGCTGTAGCTCTTGGGCTTGGCTGTAGCAGCGTCCGAGGCGGCTGTGCGGAGGTCCTGCAGCGCAAGACCTTCGCACAGATCTGCGAGGCACCGCTGACGGACGCGGACGCGAAGCTGGCGCAATCGCTGAGTGAGGAGGACCTGAAGAAGGTGGTGGAGAAGGCGAGCATTGGCAAAGACTCTAATGTTAGCCACTCATATTTCATCAATGATTGTGGGCACCAGCCTTGAGGGGAGCCTTTTTTGACAACGCCTTGAGGTCATTAGCTTAAATGGTCACCAGCTGTACATCGCTGCTGTCGAGACAGCAGCACTGCTGAACCCAAAAGCGGTCGAACTTCGAACTCGTCCAAGCGAAAGGTCCGGCGACTCGTCTGTTGCCTTGTGCGCTCCACTGCCTCGTTGTGGGCGACCGCAGAGTAAGCTGACAGCGTCGCGAAGATCCAAACTGAAGGAGTTGCGAAGCTTTCTGAAGAGCTTCTCACTCAAGAAGAAGAGGTGCTTCTTCTGACAGGTGTGACATCTTTTTGAAGACGTGGGAGGATCTATGAGGATCTGTGCTGTTGCACACAGGAAAAGTACAATTCTTGGGTAAGAAGACCAAAGGACCTCTAGATCGGGCCGAAGCCAGCCTCGAAGCCTTGGTTTTTGTGGCCGACAGCCATGTGAGTCCCCTGTCGAGGCAATTGAGAAGAACTTGCAAAGCGCCGAAAAGACTGCGGCATTGATGTCGCTTCAGGCCAGGTTTTTTTTTGGGTCGTTGAAAGATCTGGCCGCGGTGCCGCGGTGACTATCCATGGTAGGTTGACCTAGAATTGGTGGTGGTTTATTCCGTCGCTGCAGTACAATTACTTCGGGATGTGACTCAACTGAGGTTGCCCAGGCGAACATTTTCTATTTTTTTGAGGTGAAAGGTCCTTTGGAGGGTCCTTTTAATTGTTTTTTCCTTCTTCAGTTGGATCGTCATGGGGTTGTTTGCTTGAGGAAGATTCTTCCGGTCTCGATGCTTGCTCGCATTTTTTACCTGATCACGGGCGCGCCCTTCGCTTTGGTCATTTGCCTCCTGAGCGCCGGGACTGAGCGCTCGAAGGCGATCTTCACAGGAAGCGGGCCAGCCTGGCCGAACGAGGTGCGGGCCGAAGGACGTACGGGGTCGTTTGGGTTCGGGTCGCAAACCTGGCGAGATTGGCATTCCCCCTAAGCTAAGCCTGAGGGAGGTGTCCTACCGCTACAATTGAGGGACCTAGAGCTAGACCTAGTGATCTAGTTTGAATGGGGTCAAAAGGCACTGCCAACATCAAGATACCTGTGGTGTTCTGGTGCGGGCGACCACCGCTGTCACCACAGACAGTTCTGGCACGAAGAACGGACCATGACTCCTTTTTCGCATCGCTGCTGTTGAATTGGATTCCTCGCTGCGACCACCGAGACCTCATCAAGACCACCCAAGTGAGGTTTTCGTCAAGAACTTGTTGGTACCAAGAATGCAACCTTCAGTACGAGATGGCATTAAAACATTTAGATCTCAAGATCGGATCGGCTTTCAAGCAGACCCGGTCGTGCTTTGGGCCGACTCGACCTGACGTCGGTCAACCGATGTGAGGTCAGGCCTCGGATCGAATCGGATGTGCCCCCGGCAACCGACTGGGCCTGTGGCCACACAGGCCTGCTACGTTTTGCCCGGTCATGGTGCGACAGGCAGTGCTGCTGGCGTGGGTGGAGAAGGACATTTGTACATGGGGAGAAATGGGAAGATGGGGAGAGAGTTTCTGCAAAGACAAGGAGATCACGAGGAGGATGATGAACAATTCTTAGATAACAAAATTAACAAACAACTCCAGGTTTGTTTAAGTTTCTTTTCTTCCAGGTTTTGGGGTGGAGGTTGGAGGGTAGGTTGTGAGTGGCAAACCGTCAGTGTTTGTTCGTCTTCAGTGTCACGATTGATTCTGCATGGTCACTGTTCACATTTGTTCACTTTGGCTGCAGGCAGCCAGCCGGACAACCCGGACGTCTTCCACAATACGGGCTTGAGCTGGGTTGGGGTGGATGAGGCCTTCCGCTTGGGGCCTGCATGGTGACGGCTCCAACGCAGCCCGGAGCTGCGGTACGGTCCACGGAGCGCGAACCTGCCGATGCGCAGGTTCCGACTGAGGATGTGCATACATGGAGTGGAAAACGGATGAGAGTGCTGCACATGCTCCTGGATTTGTGGGGCCAGAAATAGACTCCCCCAAATGCTCGAAACATTTCATTCCATGTCATGCGCAAGCATGAAGGGCAGCCAGCAAATTGCTAAGATGGTGGATGTTTCATGCATCAGCAGCTTGGCTCGGTGTATTGTTTGAGAGAAAGCAGGATGAGAACCTTATCATCCAAAGATGTGGGTGCCAATTGGCCGTCTCCAGGTGTTTACTGACTTTCGTGTAGTGAACACTTCTGACAGACTTGGTGCCAGGATCAATCACTTTCGTCAAAACTTCTGGTTCCACTCCTTTTCCAATTCCGTGTTCGGCTGTGTTCGTCCTCGTTGGATCTCCGCAGCATGCTGCAGCAGCTGCGCTGCTGGGTGATGCAAGCGTTCTTTGCGATGGTGCAGCACTGCGAAGGCCGTCGTCTCTTTCGGAGGGCGGAGGAGCCTCGCGTCGTCTGTTTCGGGGAAAAGTTGCTTGACTTTTCCCTTCTCAACCAGGCAAAAGGCCCGATCCTCGATGCGAGTGGTCCCAGGAAGCCCGATCATCGGAGAGGCCCCCAAAAGGACCAGTGGTTGTTTCCACTCCAAACAGGTGGTTTTCCACCGCCATGATTTTCTGGTTTCCACTAGAAAGAGTGGTTGTTTCCACTACCTTGGACGAGTCGTTGCGAAGGTGGTTTTTCCACCGCCATGATTGGGAGCGTCGTTGGTTTCTTTCGAGAGGATCTCACCACGTCACCTGGGCGGGTCAGGCTGTCGCTCCGGGTTGTCTGCCACGAGCGCAGAACTACGGCGCCAGATGCCCTTCTTCGATCGACCAAAACAGGGATCACAGGTCTTCCGAACGCTTCGCTCAGCAAGGTCTTTTGGGGGTCTTTTGGATCTCAAAATGTATTTGATCTCAAACCTGCTCCAGGATCATGATGTACCCTCTTGTTCTCAAAGGACTCCAAAAGCGCACAAGATGCAACGAAAAATTGGGGTGTATGAATCATTGGGACATTCTTACTGTGTACCAAGACCTCAATGAAGACATGGACCAGACCTCGATCTTTAGCTTGTAGATGAAGCCGGATCACCTCCACGTGCCCGGATCACACCCGTGTGCCGTGTGCCACGTCAAGCTTGTGGCTTGTGACATGTGTCTGGTGTGGAGGTTCTCTGGCCCTATGTCTCTTGCAAAGGTCTATGAACCTCCATATTATATATATACATATATATACAAATCAGTAGAGTAGACTGTTGGTTCATTCATTTCCAACAGTTTAATTAGTCTAATTTGGATCGTGACACCTCTTCAAATGGGGAGTTTTTGTTCATCAACGACTCCAAGACTCGTGGGGGAAGCGCTCGTTCGCGTGAGTGAGAGGTGAGCGAGTGAAAACAACAACACCAAGGGGAAGGGGGGTCTACGCTGGTAAGCCGCTCTCCCGGCAAGTGTATACGAGAAAAAACCACTCAAGTGGAGACCAACACTCAGATCCGGGGGATCCAACTTGATGGGTTCTTGGTGAGGCGAAGCGTCAGAGACGCTTCACAGATGAAAGGCATGGTTTCCGGGGGCTCCGCACCAAAGAAAGGGGAGAGGGACGAAAAATATGAATCCAAAACCCGGCTCGTAAGAACCCAGGGCCGACTCCAGGGGGCTCAGAGTTGGCATGAACCGACATCACGACATGTTTTGATATCAAAAAGTATGCTAAGAGAACACCGAACCTTCCTATTCTTTTGAAGCAAAGCCCGGGGACTTTCGTCCCCTTTCTGGCCGCGTTTTCCGGCGCAGGCCCCTATGGCCGCCGCATGGCGCGCTCGGCCGCGCAGCTCGCGGCGACAGATCTGGATGGGGAGAGGACCGCGCGGCCGACCGCGCGGTGTTCTGCGGTGTTCTGCGGCTCGCCGCCGGGCCGAAGAAGATCGGGGCGTGGTGAGGACTTCCGGCTGAAGAGGACAGCTTGGATGGAATGGTGAGGAGGTTGGCCAGATCCAACTGGAATGTTCTTTTCATCAGTTTCTGGTCGTTCTGGACCAGGAACATGTGGTACTTATAGTTTTTGAGATGACACTTTTCCGAGATCCGATTCGGCTGGGAGAGTCGCGGAGACCCCATTTAGCAAGGTGTGTCAATATAGTCGTTTATCTATGTTGGTAGTGCCTGGAGGTCCAATTACGCAAGCAGTGAACACACAAACCTGGCCCCCCCCATCCAACATCCCCAGTCCAGGTAGTTCAACGTTCTTGGGCGTATCACTTGAATAGTTTGTCTCTCAATTGCTGAGCCAGCTTGCTGGGGGTTGAGTTTTTTCCCGTTTTCCGTGGTTTGAGGCGTGAACGTTCATTGGATGGGGGCGAGGCTCTTTTCTGTGCCAGACACATGGTGAAGCAACACGTGTGAAAGCTCGGCATTCTTTCGAAAGCTCTTTCTAGTGGGATCGCTCATCGAAAGATCACATGACCAGGGGTATTGCGTGGATGTCTTCTAGTATGAGACTTCTCAAAAACAACACAAGGAAAAGAGACGAGTCTCTGACTGAGATCCAAGTGTATTGCCCAGTTCTCGAATAAGCATCATCAGCGGCTACTTACAATATCTACTTCCCTGCACGTGGCCAAAACAAATCTTAAAACCCTTTCGCCTCCAACACATTCCGTCCACATCCATTTTTGCGTCGTCGTCTTCGGCCAGACCACACGAGACGCGCGAAAACGAGTGCCGCGCGGGCCGCGCACTAGCGCGCACGTCACTCACACCGAGTGCCGCGTGGGCCTCTCGAAGCTCGAGGTCCAAAGTTCGACTCTGGAGGACGATGAAGGACGGGAAGACGAAGCCGGACAGTGTTGAAGATCCAGGTTTCCGTCGAGGACCATTTCTCCCACGTCCCGGTGTTCACCCGGACGTTGAGGACCGAAGAGGACCGCAGAGGACCAGAAGAAAGCCGGCGTCCAACGACTTAGACGACGCGTCGCCGCCGGCGGACTCCCCCGTTCATCGGATCAACCGGTGGTGAGACCGGTGGTCCCGGGTCCCGACGCCTCGTCCGTGGACACATCGGATGGGATGGACGGCCAAGGACTCAATCGATGGTTGGACCAGCGGATGCCCAGAGGACATCGCCATACAGCGAGTTTCTGGGCATCCGCTGGTCCAACCCTCTTGAAAGGATATTTCACGCTGACCAAGAGAAGATGTGGGGGGATGGCACATGATAGCGGCCGTCCCTTTGGTCCCTTCGGTGCCTTTCTCACTGAGGGAAGGCGGCCGACATGTGGGGGTCATGTGGGTTGGCGTTCGTGTTCATTTCTGGCCAGCTCATCCGGGGGACTATTGGGTTGACAAGGGGGTAGTCACAGGATGGCCCTGGAATAACAGTGACTGATCTGAAGTCGGCCGTTTGCCGCCAGAAGAGCGAGGTGGCACAGGCTAATCCAAAGTCTGCTGGTGCATTACTGAGGGACCCACCAGGCGCACTCTGGCACACCCTAGAAAATTCCCAAAGACGCTGTCTGGTCACTAATATTTTTTTCTAGCCCCACAATTCGAGAAATTATTCTAGGGGGGTCCCAGTTCACAACAACCCCTTTGAATAATTAGGACAACCCTCGGAATAATATGGAATCATCACACCTGCCACACACCTGCTACTGGTAGTTGGTTGCAGCACTGTTTCACCTGTTTGCAGTTCGACTAAAGCCTGTTGAACTAGTGGCACCTATTAGCCATGAGATAGGTATTTCCCCCAATGAAGAATTTTGCCTGGTAATGATCTGCCAGCCCAACATGCCACCACTGGTCAAAGTATTCTAGGGGTGGTCCCAGTTCACGCAGACCCGTGGAATAATTACACCTGCTATAGAAGCTAGTAGAAAGTACTGGCCATATGAAGCTTTTGTATGTTTCCTAGGGGGGGGTTCCGCACAGGACCTTGATGCGGATGAGATCTCCTACAGATCTCTAATTCAACCAGTTGATCGAAATGAGACTTTTTACAGGTCTACAGACAGTGCCGAGATTTGATGATAAAGACAGTTAGAGTCAGATTGCTTGTGCTGTGTGAGCGCTGTCTTGATATGTTTTTGATATGAAGATGTAGAGATAACCGAAAAAATATTCGAGCAACTCAACCAGTTCCCAGAATGACTTTTTGGAACCAACTAAAAGGGGGGTCAGAATCATTTATCATAGTCTAATCCTAGGGTCTGACCGGCAGGGGCGTCGTCTGGATTCCATCCCCTATGAGAAATCGTCTTCCGATGTCATCCTGCTCAGCCGAACTTCTCGTTTGCCGTTCATCACCGAGTTGGCGACCGGTCACGCATGGCACAGGGCGCACAACGGGTGGCCTCACTACGTCTGTCGACGCACCGGTCTCCTTGGGGCGTCGTGCACCGCGCACCGCGCGCGTCGCGCGAGCGCGCAGCTCGTCGCGCAGGAGGATTTAGCGCCCTACGAGCTGCTGAACCGTGGCTTCGGCGGCGCGCGCTCTTGCGATCTGGTCGCGGCGATGGAGCCACTGGTGCTGCGCCACCGGCCGCCAGCGGTGCCATGGAGGAAGCGGGTACTGCGGGTGCGGGTAGTGTGTTGATTTGGGTTTCGATTCAATCAGGGAGACTTGAGACCTTCTGCGTTTCGTGAGTCCGTTTGGGTCTTCTCAGGTGTTTTGTGAGTCCATTTGGGTCTTCTCATGTCTTTCTTTTTTCCGGGGTCTCCCTATTCTAATAGATACCCATTGGAGGCATATTGGACCCGAAGCCGCTCCACGTCATGATTTCTTTCTCCGCGAAGTCGATGTAGAAACGGCCAGTGAGAAGGGGTGGAGATTGGGCCGGCCTGGTGGAACAGTGCGGTGAACACCTTGGTGGTGGTCCAAGTGGTAAAATATCGTCCACCTGCTTGTAAAGGAACATGGTCTAGCATGGTCTGCTTTCATAGTCAAAAGAAGTCATAGGAAAAGAGTGTATAGAAAACCCTTAGTCAAAAGAGTCATAGTCATAGTCCCTTAGTCAAAGTCATAGTGGTTGTGACCTGGGACATCCTGGGACCTGGAGACGAACTGCGAAGCACCGGACCAACCGCGTTGGGACTCCTTGGGTTGAAGCACCGGGGGTCGCGTCGCGTCGCACGGCACTCGGTCATCCGTCCGAATCACCGACTGGTGCATGAACTCCACCGGGGGGAATTCTGACCAAACAACCCAAGATGTGGCTTGTCATAGTCGATCTAAATCATTCCAAAAGTCCCAGAATGGGTTTAAGGGAACATCTAGAGGAATTCTGTAGTTTTGGTGGTGAAACACAAGGGTTTCTTTTAGATTTTCTTCAAACTTAAACACATGTTTTGAAAAAGGTTCCAAATCGTGACCAATGCGATCTAATCTGAAACATCGACCTGCATTCACAGCAACAAAGCTGGTGCTCCCTTTCAAGAACGCCTCTTTTTAGGCCCTCGACTTGAACTTGAATCTGTGAATTTATCTTTTGGTTCACCCACCCCGAACCCACCCCACCCCGAACCCACCCCGAACCCACCCCCAGCCCGCTCATTCAGGTCGTCTACTATTGTGGCATCAACGACCTCCACTTCGGCGCTCAGGCGGAGGTGCCGGCACAGGGTCTTCGGCTCTTCGCCACGAGGCTCCGAGACGCCTTGCCGGAGACGCGGCTGCTGGTGCTCGCCATGTGCCTGGGACGGGAGAAACCGGTCGACGGAAGGGGAGACGGGGTGGCGGGAGATGGCTGGGTGCTGGGCTGGGGAGGTGTGGTTGGGCGTGGTTGGGAGGTGAAGGAAGGATTCGGACAGTGGAGAACACCCAGGTTTTCATGACGTTCCGAGATGTTCGGATCCCCGGGGGAGTGGAGGAACTCCAGTTGTGTCGGATCTCCCATTTCGCCGTCGGCGGCCGGCCGTTCGGCCGGGCTTTCCCGACCGAGCCCGTCCGCTGAGTCAGAAAGTGAAGGTGATTCTCCCAGGCACATGGAGTTGGATGGTCACCATCCAACTATATATCCGACGAGTCAGCAGTGGAGTTGGATGGTTTTTTTCCTCGTCCCCTCCAGTGAGGATGGGATGTGACTGGGGCACCATGTGATGGGACGTGACTTGTTTTCATTTTCATCAAGTTCTGGTGTCAATGTCCAGGTGCTACGTAGCACCTGGTGTCATCTTGAAATGGTAAACCATTTAACTCAATCTCTTTTGGAGCTTTTCGGAAAGGGGAATGGTTTGAAGGTTGGAAGGGTGGATTCAGGGTTCAGAGGTCAGAGGTACAGATCAAGTGTTTGAGGTCTTTATAAACCGTGGTCCACCGCATCACCATATGTAAATACGTAGAAAAAGATGAAACAAGATGAACAGATAATCATATATCAGCTTTAATTACGCAGGGCAAGTGTCTTCGAACTCTTGAACATGGACTTTAAGCATACCGACATGACTGACATGACTCACATCCTAGCTTTTTTTGGATTTCCGGCCATTGATTGCTGCTTGACAACGCTTTGAGCTATATCTACTGTAGTTTCCGATCCCGTTGGTGGACGCGATGTCTGACCAAACGACACTTCACCGAGGAACCTCTCACCGCTACACTTCGCACTGGGGCTCGTGGACAAGATCCGGCGCGGCAACCAACTAATGAAGGACCGGAGGTGAAGAAGTGCTCGCTCTCTCTCCTCTCTGGCTCTGGCTCTGGCTCTGGCTCTGGCTCTGGCTCTGTCTCTCTCTCTGTCTCTCTCTGTCTGTCTGGGGTGTGGTCTTACGGTAAAGTTGCAGGAGTCCTTCCTTCAAATTCTTCGTTTGTTTGTTTGATTAGTAGTGATCTCCGCAGCAAGGCCCTTGACAAAGTGAGCCCTTCTTGCAGCACCGCACCCGAAGCCTGACGCTTTTCTCTCCATGACGACGTTCTTTTTTCTTTCACCCAAACTCCAAGAGTGCGTTTTTCCATCGATGGAGCCACCATGGCTGCCATGAGTGGACCCCATCCACCGACTTCACCCCCCCCCCGGCCGTGGCAGGGAATCATTGGTATCATGCGACCCGCGCCCTCCTCTCACTCTTCTGTACCAACAGTCACAAAGGGATGGTTTTTAGTCCCATCCAGTGAGTGGATAATGGGCACCCCGACCCTCCAATAGGCACCCCTTTGTGACTGCTGGTATATAATCCTTTTTCCACTCAGACTTACATCATCGCACATGGTGCGTACCAAGCGTTCCGGCCCGCGCGCAAAGCAAGTGGTGAGTCTGGAGCAATCTTATATAACATATACATACATATACTATACCACGGGTGTATGAAAAACAAAATGAACACTATAGTTTTTCCAAATCATAACACTTGGGTGGAGCTTGACTCCTGGATTTGATCTCCCCCTTGAATTCCATTTTTTAAAATGGTTTATTAAAGAAAAGTATTCACGGGTACATTCATAGGGTCACATGATACTTATTCTTCCCTCGTACCCCCCCCAATTCGGCCTCCGTGCGCCCGGACGAGACCTTCGCTCGGTCTCCTCTCAGGAGCTCGCCGACGAGCTGGGCTTTCAATTTGTGGACCTCTTCGCACAGGAGAGGTTTTCCGGAACGGTTTTGGGCTCGTGTGAAGCGACTGAGCATTTTCTTTTGGTTCTCTTTGCCCCTTGCGGGTGAAGTTTTTGGGAAGTACCGAAGAAAGGTAGAGGAAAGGTTTCCGTTTTTCCAGTTTTACAGGGATATCAAGCTTTACAGTTAGTTGATAGTTGCGTCGGGCCATCTTCCATTACCCTATTTATGTATTTGTATTCGTGACTATTCTCGGGTAGACAGAAATAGAAAAACAACACGGAACACCAGCCAGAAAGTATATATATATATACTGTAGCCGCTAAAAATGGGTTGTCAATTCTGGAAAGCTTCCTCAGTCGAGAAGGGTTCATGAGTTCAACACATGTTCTGCCATGGAATTCCATGAGAATTACGAGGTCATTGCCATGTTCTGCCATGTTCTTCCACCGTTTGGAGAATTACCGGGGTAATTACCACTGCGCTTTACCTTCCCGTGATGCTTTCGGATGACCCATCTCCAAAAACTCCGTTGCTGACCGTTTTTGCAGGAGCCTCGCTTTGCCTGCGACACACAGCTGTACTGCTGGGATTTGCTCCATTTGACTCCTGCGGGCTATCAGCTCTTAGCCGAGCTTCTTAAGCCACACCTAGCGGTGCTGCTGGGAGAAAACAGAGCTGGTGCGGCTGTGGTGTCCTTCGGTGCAGCTGTGGTGTCGTCCTTCGGCACCGGGATGGACCGAGCTGGGATCCGCAGACGTTCGGACACCACGGGCGCACTGAGGCAAGCTTGGATACCACCGGGGAGCCCTACACGTGCGGAGCTTGGGCGAGCCATGCGGCAGAGATGTATAGGAAAGTGGTAGAAGGGGGGTCCTTCCGACTTGAGTGGTTGGGAAGTAGCACCTCTGCGTGGAATCCGAGGACCGAATCCTCACCGAACAACCCAACCCCTCACCCTTTTTCGGTGAACCCACACTTTTTGGGCCAATCGATCCCCTTTGGGCGGCCAAAAGCCTCGATCTCTCCACCAACTGTTAAGAAAGACCCCGGTTTGGGGTGTTTTGGGCGTGAATGGACGTGTGTGTGGAGCAAAGAGGAGTCGTTCGGAGAATGTGGGAAGAGGGTGCCTTTTGGTCGTTTGTTTGGAAGAACCTGCGTCATGTATAGACACTGGATTCATCTGGAACGGCCCCATCATTGGAACCCTCCCAAAAAGTTTGCTGGGACTGGTCCGGGCACTGGACCCACATGTTTCGCCCAAAGAGCTCGAGAGGACACATCCGCTTCGGATGCGGCTCTATGCGCACGCTGAAAAACCGCAGTGCCGCCGTGCTTACCGGTGGCGCCGCGGTGGTGCCGGTGGCTGAGGCATTTGTTGATCTACGCGGGCAATCAGATCGGTCTCTCAGCTTTTCCCCAGTTCATCCCGCTCGAGGAGACCGGGAGACGGGGTCGGGGTCGTTGGTCCAAAACCGGGTCGTCCAAGGTTCCTTTTTTCGGAGGATCTGCGGACTGCGGTATTGGGTCCCGGTCCTTTTTGGGTCCTTGGGAACCTTTTGGGGAGGTATTTGGTATATTGCACGATCCTCTACGAAAGAAACAGGCCTTCGGACCTGCACCACATCGGCTGGCCGAGCGTTTTTTCGCAGTTCGTGAAAAGCGTGGCCACCTCCAGACGTCGACCGGATTCGGGTCCGCCCGCCATTTCCAGCTCCACGCTGACGGAACAAAGGTCACTGCATGGACCGCTTCTTTCTGCGTGGACCGCTCGCTCCCGGTCCGGGAGTCGGACATCTGCGAGGATGGCAAGGTCACCTGCCAGACGGACAGCTTTTGGCCCTGCCAACGGTCGCAGGTCTTGAAAGATGAGGAGTGCCCGACCGATCGGGATTGGGAGATATTGGGAGTCAGGCGTTGGGCAGGTGGTTTTTTGGGGGGCAGGACGAAGATGTTTTGGGGGGTCGATGTTTGGGGCGATGGTCCTCAGACCCGAGATCCTAGACTCTACTAGACCCTAGGGCGATGACCTGAGGATTTGGTCGGTTTTCGACTTTGAAGAGACTTCACCACACCCATCGGCCCTGCATCTTGGAATCGAAACCGAGAGGCCCGTGAACTGGATGCTCCGCCCGAGGCAGGCAGTGGCAGGCAGTGGCAGGCGGAAGCATGAGCCCTCCACGTTTGGAACCAAGTGCTCGACGGGACGGTTTTCCGACGCAGGAGGATCTGCCTTTGGGTTGCCAAGCCCTCCGCTGCACAGAAGAGGACCATCTGGGAACTCACGGCATGGAACAGGAGACACCGAAATGGAAACCCCAAGGGAACACGAACATGTCAATGGGCATGGTTTCTCTCAACGGACGTTCCAGGTGCTGGAGATCTCACACGGAAAATCAATTCTACTAGCTGGGTCCTGCCACTCAGATCGCCTCCATTTGCCTCCTACAGAGCGGCTGAACGTTTTAAGGAGCACATGTTGGCGTTGATGTCCAAACCCGACTTAATTCATAGAAGTTCACCAAATTTAAAGGCAACCTCCCCCTTCCCTCCCCCGTTCTCAGACCTAATTTGCTTGTATCCTATAAATATTATAGATTATTCTTTTCTTCATAGAAGCTATGTGTAGTTCCAAAACAACCCATCTTCCTGCTTTGATGCTTGTCTTCGCTCTCCACCGTTTCGTTCTTTTCTTCCTCCCCCGCCCTTTTTGGTGGAGCCCAAGAGGAGTGCTGTGCCGACGCCGGCACCTGCGCGGCGTTCCTGAACTCCTCTGCGGCGGCGCTCAGACCGTCTGTCGGGTGATTGGCTGAAGGACATGGAAAAGGGGGCAGAAACTTGGACATTCTTCAGACACCTCAGAGAGACATGCAGGTCCACGCTTTCACCACGGTGAGTGATGGGTTTTGGCCTTCCTGGGGAGAGGAGTCGGTGGATGATGCTAAACCCCACCTTTTTCCCCGTCTCATCGGTGGATGATGACAGTGGGGGGGGGGGAATCGCATTTGCCACTCGAAGCTTCGTGTCTGTTCTTCAAGCGGTACACGGCGGTACGCCACCCGTCTCGCAGATCGTTTGCGTGGAACAGCCGCGCCGTTGTTTTGGTCACTCTCCGCTCCAATCCCGTACCCGTGCGCACGGCATCGGACGGTGCTTGGTGTTCGGACGGTGAACACCGGTGTTTGATGCGGAAGTCGAAGATGGACGCCGTCAGAATGACGATCTGACAACGCACCAGTGGAACGTGCCAGTGGATTTCTGTCTTGAAGACCTTGCTTAGCATGGTAATTACGTTAGTTTCGGCTGGGTTCGGTTTGGGACACGGCACGTGCCGTTGGAGCGTTTGACGGGCATCCGTCCTTTTGGGCGTTCAAACAGGAAGTGCAAAGTTTGCAAAAAGATCCTACCCGCAAGACACTTGACCAAAACAAGCCATCAAAGACCTCGAACTTGTGCCTTCAACTGGTGCCTGCGAAAGGGCTGCAGCAGAAAATGCTAAGGATGCCACCAAAAGAAACTTGTTTTATCTGCATTTGTTTTGATTGCCATTGGGGATGAACAGATGATCATCAGCGGCTTTTCCAAAGTTCAGAGCATTTTGCTCTGTCAGGAGTTGTTGAACACGCTGTGCCAGGAGAAGAGCACCAGCTTTTGGGTCCTCGTAATCAATCACGTGTCTTCTTTTTCTTCTTTTCCACATCCGGAAGAAACGCCATGAGCTTCCCCCATGCCACTCGCAGTGGTCATGAGGCCAATGCCACTGGATGTGCAGAAGGTTATGTGCCTCTGCATGCTCCACCTGAGCCGCTTGGCGAGTTGTGTAACCAAACCACCTGTGATCCAAATCTACTAATCGGATCACCCGGTAGGGAGTCGGTGGGTATGTATATTCCGCAGAATGTGAACTTGAGTAGAAGATTGATAGAAGACCACATTCCCAAATCATGATGTGAATGATGTGTATCATGTCACTGTCATGTCACGAAACGACCGAGCACCGTATCAGACCGTGGGTCCGGCATCGGGTCTGAGCACCCAACAGCGTTTGGGGTTCGTTGGTGTTGGGCTTTGGCACATCGAACCAAACACTGCACATCAAGTTCGATCTTTTTCATCAAACCATTGGCAATGATTGTGGACAATCCCAAGATTCAGAAGAACCCTACCAGTTTCTTCCCGCAGCATCCGGGAGAATTCACCTAAAAACGCTTTCCCCTAGGCCTGGCCTGAAAGCGCTTGAAACCACTTTTCAGGTTCTGTGCACGACCGGTGTGCACCAGCAGCGACTGTCCGGGGTGCTCGGTTGACGATGATCGCGTGGGTGGGATGGGGGGAGACCCCCGATCGCCTTGCCCCCGATCGCCTGGGTAGACTGGTCCTCAGGTTGGTGCCTTTCCCTGGAGCATTGGATGAGACCTGATGGGGATTCAGATGATGTGATGAGAGCCATGCCTCCAAGTCGAGGCTCACGAGGTCCCACCTTTGAAGCTGAGGGGTGTTTCCAACCGCGAACAGGTCCGTATCGTGCGTACAGGGCGTACCATGGTGCGGTTCTCAAAGGAACTTGCTGGAACCCCAAAGAACCAGAAACATATGGTTGTTCCAATATGACACATGACATACCTGGACCTTCTTTCGGGGTGTCCTGTCCTGTCCGGTCCCTTAGTGGCGTAAATTAAGGCCTTCCAGCCAGGTGACCCCGACATGAAGGTGCTGGTAGGAAATGGCTGGGACTGGGGAGTTCCATCCATTTCTTTCTGGTTGGGACTGGAGTTCCAGGATTGGTGTGGATCGGGAGACCCGGCTTTCCAGACCACCCTGGCAAAAAAAATAGAACTATATATAGTTTGCTATCATTTACTGTGCTAGTTTGTGGGAGGGCTCTATTTCAAAGAGAGTGATCCACAGCAATCCACAATGTCACGAGCCGACAGTCCGACAGTTCTCCGAAAAAAAAACCGAGGCTGCCTGAGGAGCGCGGAGCCCGTGGGGAATCTGCTTCTGAGCTTCAACACTTGGGACTCCATCCAGGTGGGACTCCGCCCACCATGCTGTTTGCAAAGCGAGGTTTCAGAGAGTGGAAGCAGCATGTTTTTTGCACGAGAGGAGTAGAGGAGATTGATGAAACACATCGTTCAATCGTTCAATGTTTTTCTTTGCTGTTCACCACACCGGTTTCTACAGGTTTCACCCACAGGTTCCCGGTTTTTGTACTGTTTCACTTGATGAAAGACATTGTTTTTTCGGTTCACCACACCGGTGTCTTATCCGCCACACCGAGCGCGGTGTCCCGACCAGCTGCTGTCAGGTGTCGTGGGAGGTGCCCCAGCTGCACGACTGCGTCTTCCAAGAGTATCAGGCGGATGGAAGGGATCACTGCGGGAGATGCAGAGGCAATTTCTTTCATCTTAGATCAAAGAAATGGTTGGTGTTTAGTCGTTATTTTTTTGGGGAACACCCTTGTGTTTTCTTCGCAACAACGGCGGGACCGACTGATGTGGGCTGGTGCTGGCCCTCCCAGCGGTCCTCACCAGTGCAAAATGCCTCACACCGCTTGGGTCGAACGCAGAGGTTCAGCTGGCCCTCGAGAACGGCACGAACGTGACGAATGCCACGTGGCAGGAGTGACCGGACGGATGGAGTTCGATGGACGGATGGATGGAGGGTGGGTGGGACCTACCAGGTAGGATGACTCCATCAGGATTCTGGTCGGGACGAGGGCTCCAACCATCTAAGGCCTCTGGAAGAAACTTGCAGGCCTGGCCTGCAGGCCTGCTAATTAGGATGACCGAGCAATCCATGGGGAGTAAAAGACGCATCTCATTCTTCTAGGTTTTTTTTGTGCATTTCCAGAGTTTGAAAACTTCTGGCCACTTGAACAGTATATATTGGGTCTGTCCCATTATATACCTGTAACAGTTGGCAACATGTATCGCTTTTTTAGAGCAAGGCCTCTAACCAGCATCATCCACTGTTGCTGGTAATAGGATATACCCAAATTCAAAGCATGTACGCCATCATCAACCAAGGAGCCACCAATGGGTATACCCTGCACTACTTCTAGGATTGCTTTATCCCTTAGATGGTGTAGGTCTCATGTGGATTGACCAGATTCGGACTCCAAAGAGTTGGCAGCAACCCCACGAAAACCCAAGAACCTCCACCTCAATGCCCCCGATTCGAGCTCAGCGCCTCGGCGAGCTGCAGGATGCTCAGGGCTGTCAGCTGAAAGACTCCTGCGGAGCCAGTTGTGTGGCGCGGGGGCCTATCGGGCCTGGCGGGGCCATGGGAGTGCCGTCGGGTCGGGGCTCTCTTCACCGAGAGGAAAGGATCGAAGACATCGATGATTCGAAAGCACAAACCTGGCCCAGTGGGTTTCCATCAAAGCAACTAAGACCCATTTCCTCATCTGAGGTGCTGTTTTTAGGGACCTTTATGGGGGAGGTGAAGTCTGAAAGAGATGCATTTTCCACAAGTCTTCCAGGTGCTTCCATTGACGTATGTATGCTCTTTTGGATCACCAGTGAAAAACGAGGACTCACCAACCACTGCCCAGAAAGAAGGGAATGGTTGTATGCCCATTTCGCACAAACATCATCACCTTCTCCCAGGCTTCGACGTGATTCAATTGCTTTGGGATTACATATCCCATGCCCTCGTTGTTCCTGGATCCAGAGGGCCCCCCCAAAGAGGGATTCACAGATCTGGATGATCTCCAGGATCCACCTGTCAGTGTCAGGAAGGACGCGGTGTGATGCTCTTCCCGGGACTCACATGGACTCACCAAGCGGGGCATTTTGTGAGGAAGGTGTGATGCCGTTCCATGTGGTCCGATCACGTTCCATGGAAGAAAACACCGCCTGCGCCTGCGCCTGCGCTGAGGCATGTAGTCTTCCAGGGGCCATGCCATGCACGTCACCATGTGTTTTTCTCGGAGTGTAAGATCGAATCTTTATTCCTGGGTTTGACAGTGTGGATAGCACCACCCTCAAGAGGTGGTTTCTTTTTGACCTCCCATTTTTCTGGACATCCACCGACCTGAAGAAGCTACTGCTTTCGTGACATTTCTGGATGGCCCAAGACAAGACACACCGATCAATTTCAACTAGACTTGCAATCTGAGAGACTTATAGACTAGACGAACTTTGTGAAAGCTCGCTTTCGACGTCTCAAGGTGCTTTGGAAGATTTTAGAGCCACAGAGCTTTGAGGTGCTTAGGCCTCTTGTAACATCTAGGCCTCCACTTCCTGGTGATGTTTCCATGATGGATCGGGTGAGCCCACCATCCAACTCACCACCGGTTTACTGGTGTCTTGTGGGTCCGAAGGTCTAAGCAGTCTAGGCACGAGTGCCAAGAGTGGCACTGTGGTACTTCACTGTTTTTGGGCACGTCTTTTCTCATGGGCGCCGTGGTGCCAGCTAAGATTGGGGTAGACATTGAAGTTGGAGCTTGGAGGCAAAGTACTTCCTTCCAAGTGCCCATGCAGCTACACAAGGATAAATCTGATGGAACTCTTTTGTCAAGAAAACTCATCGTAGCGTTTCGATGTTTGTTAGACAAATGGAGGTCATTCTGGAGCGGAGGCCGTGATCGAACCCTGTGACAAAGGAGAGACATCACAGATTAATGGAACTTGGATTTCTCAAGTTTTGGTAGCAGAGTTTTGTGGTACTATTTTCAGTGGCCCACACACTGGGAAAAAAGAAGAGGCCCTTGACAGCCGTTCTTTTCCGTTGCAGAGGTTTTTCTTTTTGAAAAACAAACACCGTCCGGGCAGCGACCTCACAAAATAAATGCATATTTTTCAAGTGGAGCACTTTAAGACACATTTTGAGTCTTTCTATGTATTTTGGAGACTTCCAAAAGCCCCAAGGTCAGGGGTTTGTTGAGCGATCAGTCAAAAAGGTCGTGGTTTCCCGGACGCTTCGCTGGTTGTCGTCTGGGCGGACGATCGTCCGGCCCTTCGCGCTTCGCGGGTTCTTCGCCTCGGCAGATCCTGCGGAGAGACGAAATGGACCAAGACAGCAGCAGAGGTTGAAGAACCCGAACGTTCGGCTATCCCAGTTCGGTACCCTGGTAGGGTCCTAGTTCAGGTCGCTTGACCTCTGTTTCTTTGGAGGCCCCGAAGCGACGAAGCGAATCATACCAACCCGGCCATATATATAGTGTGTTTGCATCGGCCGAGCTTTTGCGACAGGGCAAGCTTCTTGCTTCAATGATGGCGTTACCCTATGTGAAACAAGATCAAGCAATCTCAAGCAGTCAAGTGACATGTCGGTCTTGCAGTTCATGCGAAATCCTCGTTGCAAATCAGCTGCGAACGGACTTCCAAGGCATGCTACTCGCTTCCATGTGAGTTGTGGGAGTCTACAAACCCTCCCTCAGCATTGCACTTCATAACTTCTTTTCTTTTCTCAACCTGGCCCGGATTGGGCGTCGCGAAGTCTCCGCCTTGCCGTTCTGCGCCCATGACGATCTGCGTCCATGTGGTGTTGCTTTCGGGGCGTCAGGCGAGAGATGAGGTGCTGTTGGTTCCTTCACCCAGGGTGTTGAGGCTTTTGCATCTTTTACCTAGCCTGTCTTCCATTCATCTTATTTTGGAGTTTCTTTTCAACATTGTTTCCATGTTTAAATGGTGGAGTTGTCGTGTTTTTGCACCACCTTTGTTGACACCAAGAGCGGCGTGGCGAAGCTGGATTTATGGTGAATGGGTGATGGGAAACCCTTCGAGCTCCAGAAATTCCTGACTTCATTCTGAGTCTATAGGCCTTGCTGCAACACACACGGGGTAGCTTTGCCGTGCCTTTCACAGGTGGATCACGCAGGTAGATCCCTGCATAAACTTGGGCAGTGGATGACGATTGGGCATAGTGGAACGATGAACGACTGATGCGACTGCGACACCCTGTGTTCCACCAGGTCTTAAGGAAGGGGAACTAAAAGGTGTTGGAGCTTGGTGCTGGCAAGAAGCAGCCATGAAGAGGACCAGCCCCCAAATCTTTGATCAGTAAAAGAACTGGTTGAACTGGTTTTGCAGTCTCACGATTTTTCGTGCAACTATGGGCTGTTACGTCAATCATAGCTCTCCACGAAGCTCCGGCTGAGCGAAGAAGGCCGCCGCCCGACAAAGGCCTCTCTGCTGGTGCCGCCGGAGACGAGTTTGAAGGAGCTTCGGCAGCTCGCGCAGCAGCAGATGCAGGCGAACGAGGGCACGTCTTGGGCGAACCGCTTGAAGACGCGACATAGCGACGTGCGGTTGTGACGCGCTGAGTGAGGAAGGTGTGAAGGTGGGAGGGACGGAGTCGGTGAAGGTTGGGGAATGGGGCGTTCGAAAAGGGGGAAAAAGATCGGAGAAAAGGGGGTGGATGGGGCTCTTTGGGAACCTGGAGAGTGAAGGAATCATTGGGCAGGCACAAAATGCATGCTGAGAGAGAAGCTCTGGCAATTGGATGAGCTGGTGTGTGAACTGCTCACATCCAGCTCGTGGACGTTTTCCACCAACACATTACAGAACATGTCAATATAATGTGTGTTCAAATTTGGGAGACCTTTGAGGCAACGACCCCCCCTGGGCAACGACCGTGGCCGCGAGGTGGGCATTGCCTCGTTGGTGACGGCCGGGGGTCTCGTCTTGTTCGACAGCAGCGCCTTCCCCGTCGCGGAGCTCCAGGGCGAAACCCTCCAGGTGCGTCGTAGACTCGCGCGGTGCGGACATCATGTGCTGCGCAGGCTCCGCGGAGAAGATGAGGAGAGGGGAGATGGAGGGCGATCGATTTCAAAGGGGATGGAACAGCGGTGGGTTTTGGGAGTGATGGAGTGTCTGGTTTACATGTGATCTTTGGGTGAGGTTTCCAAGCGGTGATGGTGGTATCACGTGCAACAGCTCCAAACTCCGCAACTCCTGCGTTTGGTATCCTTTTTCGTCCACCGAGCCGCGGCGAGGTCGTGGCGCGGCGCGGGGCGCTCTGCTCCAATGGCTACTCCAGGGCTTTCGTGTGCTCTGGAGCGAAGGGAGGAAAAAGGGGGGTCGTCAAGTCATCGTACCTATAATAATCCCTTCCACCTAGTTAAAAACACGAGGCCCCCCCTCTTAAGAAAAACTCGGTCGCATTTTTTAATAGGTACTCGGGGCTTCTCCAGGAATCTGAGATGCTGTGATTCTGGACCCGCCTACGAACCCCCAAAAGCGCCACCTACCCATCCCTACCCACCCCCTTTCCACTCCAAAACCACATCTGCCCATTTCGCCACCTACCCACACCACCACGCCTGAGGCACTTGGGCCCCACGGGTTCCGTGCGTGCCTGGGGCGCTGCCGCCTATGGTGGTGAGCTGCCAGAGGGGCTCATCGAACAGTTGAAGGACGTCCAGCAGGCGCGGAGCCGCTTTCCGCGCTCGCTCTGTGGCGGAACAGATGTTCTCTTCTCGTCGCCTCGCGGAGCGCACGGGTGGGCGCGTACGGGTGTGGTTTGAAGGGAGGGGAGGAGAGGGAAGAGGAATGCTTGCTGATGTCATGCCAAGTCTTTCAAGATTCCAAAAGTTGGATGAATCGAGGAAGGGAGTTTTATCATGGACATCTTCATGTATCCCGCTTGGACCCTTCCGAATTTCCCCGAAATAGGCTCCACCACGGCCAGTTCGCTGCTTTGAGGGACCAAGATGTCTATCGGACTGTCCACCCTTACATCTTCCTAGATGGGTGTGTCTTAGAATAGGCCCACAATCTCAACTAGCTTGTTTTGTGAGCAACGCTCACAATTTCAGAGGTATGGATCATGTATACAGATCGATTTGCCAATCCATTTGAGTTCGACCAGCCTTGTTTTGCACACGAAAGCTGAAAATAGCTTTTGAGTAGCAAGCACTGTGTGCCAAGCCCTGTGTACATCATAGCGTTCCCAAAAGGATCAGTGCCACCCACAGCATTTCCTTCTACCAAACGACGCAGACAAGGAGCGAACGACCGGTGACCACCAAGCAAGAACGACCAGTGACGTGCCGGTTTGCTTCGGCACTCCACCTCGTTGTTTTCACGTTTCAACGGAGCCGAAAGCGAACTGCCCGCCCAGCCCACAAAAGAACATGATTTATATAAGGATACAACTTAAAAAACACTCTTCATGGAACAATCTTATGAAGCAACCTTTAAACAAATAACAGCAACACACACACACACAAGCTCTAAAGTCTTTTTTCCGACCTTCTTAGGGTCACCTCCCTTTCGCCCGCGCGGGCGATCCCAAGACCCTGTAGACGACTCGAAGCGTTCGCCCCCGAACGCTTCTTCGATCGATCGATCGAGGGGTCGAGGGCTCGGACCAGGTGCAGCATGCCTGCGCCTTCTTCCAGGCGGGCGCCTTCGCAGCCATCAAGAGCGACGGTGCCTGGGAATTGAACGTATGCGAGTGATGGGTTGGGAGTTAAGAGTCAAGAGATAAGGGGGTGTGCTTTGATTACATATGGTGTGCTTGCATGGTACAATGAAGTTCTTGAGAGAAAATCGGAGCAGCACAGATTGCCGTGATGCGCACTTAAGATTCCGCTTTTGGAGGGAAGCCAATTCGGTGTTTTTCGTTGAGTCCAAAAGACGGCACACGGCCGTGGTTCTGCGTTCCTGGCGCCTTAGGCTCGGTGGTCACTTGGGGCGAGAGCCTTGGACCGCCATGTGGTGTGGGTGTTTGGTTATGGCACGAACGGGCTGAGGACTTCTCGTCTTGCCAAGATGGCGAAGTGCGGATTTGGCCGGGTCCACCCTGGTCCGTGAACACATGTCCACCGCGGTGAAGGCCAATCCGATTGCAACCTCACCAAGCAATATGTAAGGCCAAAACAAACCAAGCTGCTTCAGGCTGTGGAAAGGGTCTAGACTCTAGACTCTAGGACCTTGAAATCATCTCCCCTCGGCCCATCAACAAGTTGTCAAACCTTCATTCTTTCCATTGATTTCCATCTTCAAACCCAGCGTTCGCAACCTTTTTGCGTTATACATGTCTCATCCTTTCTCCACTTGCCTGAGCCTACCAAAAGGAACACCCCATGACCAGTCATGACCAGTCACGCGCTCCGCTCCCAACACCGCTCCGCTCCGCTAAAGACCGGTGGTGTTCGGTCTCGCAGCTCGATGTCTGGGTCCGGACATCGGTACCAAAGCACCCATCTGTCGGTCAAACCGTTCCTTTTTCGGTGAGGAGTCAAACCGATCGCACCGTTGACGCACCGTTGACGCACCGATTCGCGAAGCGAAACGCACCGATTCGCGAAGAAAAGCACCGAATCCTCTAGAGTCAGTGGCCATGTGGATTCGTTTTCGTCAGTCGCGCCGACATCGTGGGGGTTTGACGCACGTGGATGAACAATCCAATTCACCCAAACGAGCAACGTCACAGTTCGACCTGATCTCAGGAAGGCATTTGGGGGTGACAGTCGCCATGTTCAGGACTGCTCCGTGGTCGCGTGGTTTTCTTAGGGGTTTGATGGGGTTCGTGTGGAGGGCTAAATCCACCGGTGGTGAATCACCGCACAAGTGGGAACCCCTTGGAAACTTGACTTGGTCGAAACTTGGAAGCCAAGACCTGGCCCTTTGATGAACCAGCAGGTTTTTTCAAACAAAAGACATGCCTTTTTTTCTCCTTCTTTTTCGACGGACCTTCAAACATCCTTAAAAGCTTCCCTTTGGAACCCTTGGACTGTTTGTTGTACTTCATGCTTCCGGCAGCTAGATAGGAATTGGAACTCTGTGCAATGTTTGAAGGGCCCTACTGGAAGCCACCTTTCCATTTTTGACTAGCCCAAAAGACAGTAGTTGCCTGACAAGAACTTTGAGGGATGGACATCATGTCGGAGGACCTCTGCGAAGGCCATCGTCCCACAGCAGCTCTTTTCCACCGTCCCAAGTCCTGATCATCCACTGGTCCATTCCTTCCTGACAATCCGACGTAGACCCATCCAGGAGCAGCTTCACCAGATCGTGCCGCGGTCGAGTTGTGATCGCGTCAGCTGTGAAGGGATTTGGGAGTGTAGATCACCAGGATCAGATGCAGACTCGCACCAATAAGTTCACATGGTTTGGTACATGGAGTGCAACTAATTGGTTCCCACGGTTTGATTCACCTGGGTTTGATCTCAATTGCCTGTAATTCAAATGGTTTAAACTGCATTCTTACGCCTTGCCCATCCATGAAACCATGTGACGTGTGTTTTTCCTTTCCGGAGTCTACAACAAGAGGTGAAGATGTAGCTGCTTGGGGGTTCAAGTTGGAGTGATGGAAAGATTTCATCTGGGAATGTCTAGTCTAGCCGCCCCAACTTCGAACATCCTCTTAATGATCATCCACAACTATAAAAAAACAACAAAAAACTTTGGACCCGTCATCCAAATTGCGGAAGAAATCTGGAACATCGCTTGAAATCCATGTCAAGGCTCCAACGACCCTCCAAGCCCACCCTAAACACTCTCTCAGGAAGTCGTTTTGTTGGAGCCTGAGGGCAAGAAGACGATTTGATTTCTTGACTTGTAACCCTTTTGGGGGAGGGGGGACAGCCCACAGACATTCTATTCCCCTCCCAAAACAAACCACTCGCTTCCTCAACCACACGAAGCACCGGTCCCGGCTGCCTGTTTGTGTGGTCTCAAGACCTGGCTCTATAGCGCCTTTTCCACTGAAAACACCATGACGCAGCATGAAACCAGGCTGTATTTCGGCTGTATTCCAGTCCTTCTTTCTTCGTTCGGCTCGGCTCCGGTCATGTTACATTGGGCTTCCCCATTCATTGACACTCCGACCACCCTGCCGAGGTCCCTTATATAAGCTCACCCTGCCAAGGTCACAGACCGCCCCTGCCGGTCCACAGGCACGGTCTCTATGAAAGGCTCCATCCCCAAGCAGACTCCCTCAGACTCCTCCCCATCCTTCCTCTTTCTTCCTCTTCCCCGAATTCCCAATCCTTGCTCTCCTCGCGCTCTCCTCGCCGCTCAGGAGGCCATTCAGTCCTCGCTCTACGCCTTCGCGGCGCTCCGGCGCGACGGCCGCGTTGTCGCCTGGGGCGACCCGGCCTCCGGCGGTGACCCGGAAGTGGAAGGTGGAAGCGAACTTGGAGGGAGCGTGGAGGACGGTGGAGGCCCAGTTGGGAATGGTTTGTGGTGGAGGTGGAGTGGCCGTATAGGCCTTGATTCAATTCCCTAGCGGCAAGAAATCCAATCCTGAAGTGAAAAAAACAGGGAATCCCAAATCGCGGTCTGGACAGCAACAAGGCTCCTTATCAGCCGGGCGTTTCTCAAGCACCACCCGAATCTTGCTGAGAGAGGATACTCACAAGCCATATTCACAAACTGAGGGCATTCCCACACGAGATGATCCCAAGAAAGAATCACACCTTGATGACAAAACGGACAAGTGTCGAGGCCAGGCTGAAACCAAAGCGGGACCAACCGTAGCACCTGAAGCAGTACCGCAGAATGCAGCATTCTGCACCATGTACTTACGGGTCTCACTCAAATTAATGTGAGAAAAAGCTTGAACAAGGGAAACTTTCGAGTGATCACTCCGCAGCTGGAGAGCTTCGTGCCTTTTACAACTAAGCCACCAACCCAAACGCGTAGAAGCGAAAGGGTTCGTCTCCATCGTTCATGCTTCTCTTTCGCCCGAACAACCGTCCGATAGCCAAAAGAGAACGAGACGGTCATTGAAACACTTCCACAACTCGCTCGAGGTTCCTGACATCCCAATAGCCAAAGATCGTCGTAACACACCCACAGGCGGACCATCGCCATGCCTCACCGCTTTCATCGGAGTTGCACGGTGAACCTTTGCAAGGCGGAAGTCAAGTGTTTTTAGTGCCCCCATATGAGAACCGTGTTTTCAGCAACGCGGTTCGCAACACTGGGCCAACATTTTGGAGGATTATGGATGACTGATGGAAGTCTCTAAAACTTATTTCTATGTGTTTTGGTCTTTTAGCTCAATGATTCCTTCGGTTTCAGGTGTCCTTCCTTCCTTTCAAGGGCTATCGAAGGCTAGGGTAGATGCTATTGGTCTATTGGTGGTCAAAACTTGTCAAGCATCCTGTGAGGGAAGTGCTGCGAAAAAGAAAAGAAGAACAAACACAATTCTCGCGACATCTGATGGTCCCTTTCCATGTTGGGTCTCAGGAAGTACTAAGTTTGTTGCCCAAAGAAGAACCCTTGTTTGTCCCAAGAGTGCAAAAAAGGATAGAACATGAATCTGCGACGCAAATATCTATTGTATAACTTATTTTATCTTATGTTTGAGACTGCTTCATGTGCCGTTTTTTGCTGGAACACCCGTCCTTAGAGATGGCTTAGACTTGCGACTCGACTCCGCGCTGCCTTTCACGGAACCAAGCTCCGAGGACACCTGCAGGAGTCATTGACAGAGGTGATAGCGATCCAAGCGACCGAGAAGGCAGGGCAGCTGGGCGATCCAAGCGATCCAAAGAAGTTGGAATATGTGAGAGATTTCCTGTCATGCAGGCAATGGATGATGGAGGTACACTATTTATCATAATGTTGTATGTTCTATATCCTTTTGAACCAGAGTGGGATGAAGAAGACAGCAAACAAAGGCCCCAGTTGTGACTCAAATGGTTTGGGTATGGAACAAAGAACCAGAACAGTCCCCAACAAAGTGATCCATGTAGTAACTTAGTTTAATTAACAATACCTTCATACCTTTCACTCCACCACTACCAATTATATCTGCTTTCCTTCCAAGAAACCTCCACGTCATCCCGCCAGATCCATCAGGCCTTTGCTGCAATCAAGCGCGATGGAACAGTGGTCTGCTGGGGAGACCCTGCACGTGGAGGCGACTGTTGCCAGGTGCAGCAAGCCTTGCAACAGGCGCCTCCAGCCCTGGACGCCGCGCGACGACCGTAGCTGTCGTGGACGCCGAACCCGCGTGGCAGACGCGGCGAAGAACGCAAGACGAAGACGGCAGGGTGAAGACGGTTGGGGTGAGAAAGGCGTGTGGTTCTTGGGCCAAAAGCTGTTTTAACCAAGTGATCCAACTTAATAGCTAAAGTACAGCGCCTTGCAGCTGCAAACCTCGAATTGTTGGAGGTTTATTATGCTTGTGGAGCTTCTCTGTTGGATATCCAAGTTCATCAGATCAAACATCAGATCAAAACTCTTCTGAAGGAATCAACAAAAATTCTGCCTCCTTCGGGCAACCACACTGGAAGCTCCACATCCGCCACATCTGCCACGACGTGCTCCACGACGTGCTCCACGACGTACTCCACTCGGCCGATGGCGAACGGTCCAGGTGCGCTGCATCCAGGCTGCCACCGGCGCCTTTGCCGCCATCTGCGGCGGCGACGGCGAACGTGGCGGTCGTGTGGTCTGCTGGGGCGACGTGCAGCACGGCGGCGCACAGCACGGGGGTGAGATGCAGAATGTGATCGCCATCCAGGTGGTTGGGAGTTCTTTATTTTTTCTTGATTTGGGTCTATAAGTTTTGGAAAGGGAGGTGAGGTCTTTTCATCAAGCATGTTCAGTTCTTGTTCGAGTTATATAGATCATATTTCAATGAGCCACTTCCTGCCACCATCCACGACGTTCGTTCAGGCGACCTCCACGGCCTTTGCGGCGATCCTGGCGAACGGCCGCGTGCGGACGTGGGGCGACCGCTTCCGAGGCGGCGACAGCGGCTTGGGCGTCAGCTGGGGCGGGGAAGGTGGGTGGTGGGAAGGTGCTGGGGAATTGGGGTGACCAACACGGCACTGGGTGGGGGAATTGGGTGTGCTTCGTGTGGTGTGAGTGGTCGATCCAGATGCAGCTGAAGCGCGGTAGAGCGGGTATAACTAGCGGAAATGAGTTGGTTCGATTTATCATTTAAGGCAGTACCGCCGATTCCAAGCCTGCAAAAGGCTACAAGTCTGAAACGAAAGAACACTTGGATCTTGTGAGCCTACTTCGACTGTTCATGTTCCAGGGGAACCTCCCCAGCAGCATCCTTGTGTCCCTCCTTCAAGGCAGGACGATCAACGCGAAAGACAGGACGATCCACGGCACACATACCCAGGTCGGTGCCAGGGTGTTCACACCCTGCAGCATCAATGATGTCACACTTGAAGCATCACGAGGTCAGCGGATTAGTCGAGGGTTTCCACCAAAAGGAGACCCTGGCTTCGCCCAATGGCCATCCATCGCCATCCAGGAGCTCGGTTGCGTTCACGACCACAACGCCACGAGTGTCAAGCCGAGACTCCTGATGTTTCCAGGGAAGGAGGGAGACACGCATTTCAGGGACGACCACGTTTTCCTTCCGGAATGGACGGCATGTAAGGTTTGTCTCAACTGTCCCATTCCAGACACGGTGCAGGGACCGGCAGTGAGCCAGCGCGCCGTCTCCGCGTCTCCACCGTGCCGTCTCCTACGTCTCCACCGTCGACGTCCGGGCTTCGGACGTCCGTGCGCTTCGGACGTGTGATCCCACCGAGGCGCGTTGGTGCAGGATCAGCTGTTGGATGTGGCCTGGGCACAGGGCGCCAGCAGGGCGCCAGCGGGGTCATGTTCTGAAGAATGCGGGGCACAGTGGTCACTTTTTGGGTACTTTCTTCTGAGTAAGAGCCGTGGCCGTCGTGGTTTACCGGGAAACCTGAATGACAGAGTCAGAAAACCTCAACGGTGGCCATCGCATGACCAGGGCAGGTCAGTACGTGCCTGCGCCCATTCCGGTGTGACCAGTTACCGAAGCTAGGGGAACCCTCAGGGTGTGGTCTAAGGAAGATCGACCGTTGAAATGTGGAACTGCTCCAATGACGAGTGAACCTAGTTTATAGATGTTATTAACTAGGTGCTATGACAATTAGTTATGTCGAACAGTTATTTGCTGTTGACACTAAGCAGCATAGCAACAGAATGCACACCTTCTTTCGATATAGACATACTGCCTATGGCAAGAACCTTCAGACCCTGGATTGGATCTACAGAACCAACCAGGGAACTCTACATACAGGAACTGATGGGTTCTGGGTTGATGGATGGATTTTTTCTGCGTAGTTTTATGTATTTTTCCTGGAAAGGAGTTGTTCTCTTGGATGCTCATCGGAAACATTCAGTGTGCTGGGAAACACCTCAATTCTGACCCTTGCATACAGTCCTTGGATATGGGAGTTGGCCTGGGGAAGCCTAGAATCTGGAACTCTCTCCTCAGATTTAGTTCTTTTTTGTGGACCAAGCCCAAAGCCCAGCACTCAACTCAACAATTCTTTCGAGTCCTCCAGACCTCTATATATGATAAATATAAGTTCTGTAATTTGGAACATCAGATTTCTTGGTGGCACACATTGATGCAATTTTAGAGTTTTTTTGACCGGGAAGCTGGGCTACCCTCCTTCATCCAATTCCCTTTCAGGTGCTCTTTCTGCAGAGCACTGCGGGTGCTTTCGCCGCGCTCACGGCCGCCGGTCGGGTCGTTTGCTGGGGCGACGCCACACGCGGGGGTGAGAACAGCACCTTGGGCAATGCAGAAGTCTTGCTGGGCGGATGGTTGGCCGGGCCAGGGGTCAAGGTTGGGGATCCTCCCCAAAAAAGATGCCATGGATGTTTTGTGAGGCTTTTTGGGGGTCTATTGTAATCATTCAATGTATCGAAGATGTCTGGGACAAGACTTGGTGGCCAATTTGGGGACGTGAGCCTGACATCATCATCATCATCATCATCATCATCATCATCATCATCATCATCATCATCATCATCATCATCATC